AGGTCTAGGTCTAAGGCTAAGGACTAGGTCTGAGGCTAAGGCTAAGGCTAAGGCTTAAGGCTAAGGCTAACATCGACAGTCACGCCTCACCCCACGGTGTGGGGTCGGCGGACTTAAATTGGATTTGAGTTAGAGCTAAGATAGAACTGAGTCAAACGGAATTTCAACTAAACTTGTATTGAACTATAACTATAACCTATTTAAAATTAGATGAGAGTTGAATTAGAAAGGAATTGGAATTAAAATTAGAAGTTCGCCAGAATAAGATGTAAAATGCTTGAGCTACAAGATGCACAAGTCGAGGGGGCTTCGAAATTACAAAGCCGAAGCAAAAGCAACAAGCATTGAATTAGAACTACAGCTTACGCAGATTCATAACAATTTCATGTAAATTGGAAGGTATCATTACAGTTCACCCAATTGTTTTGCCAAATTCTCGCCTTCTATTTCTGCCATCACGAGAGGGCCAGACTCAAAGGCAACTGGACACTATATAGATGCTGATAAGCCACAAAACTATACATGTCAAATGACTTAATGGAATTCCAAAAATAGCAAAAAAGTGCACTCTCACAGCCTGCCACCCTCTAAATTACAGGCGTGGGTTCCAGGCTGTGACCGCGTTGACCGCGTGGCCATGGTGATTGAGACAGCACGATGTGACTTCACACGTGCTGATGTGACTTCACGCTTCCACGCGTGGCCATGCAGTGATGCTACTTCACACGCACTGATGCGACATAACCCAACCCCTTGTAGCCTGAGGACAAAAACAAGGTAGAGCAAGCGAGTGAAGCGAAAAAGTGACAGGGCCAGTTTGGACCGTCCGGATCCTTGGACTAAGGATTCTGTGGTTTGCTGAAGTACTCAAACCTGGAGCGTATCGTGCTGGAGAAACCCGAGGTCAACCATCGGGACTTTGATGCCGACTGGTTCTGGCTGTTGATCGATCGAAACAAGAAGTCCTTGACATCCTTGGAGCCTTGGATCATCGCAAGGATAATTCCCGCACTTGTTTAATTGTGATAGGCCTGCCACCCGAATATATGTGGGCTATCCCTTGGAAGCTTGCTCATCTCCACACCTCCGAAGAAAGAGCACGTGCTGTTGCAAGGGTGGGGGAACATCCAAGCTAAGCTCCCTGAGAACCGTTTTCGCCCAAACACCCCCCGCAAATGGGCAAGACAGCTGAACACTTTTGATTTATTGCGACCTGCACCCAGGAAGGAACCCAAAAAATGTTAACGGTTGCTCACCGTTCGCAGGCAATCTCAATCTTTTGTTGGCTTTGTTTTTTGTGGTGCCAGGAGATGAGAGGTTGCCTCTCTGGGCTACCTGACCAAGGCGATGTGAAGAACGTTCAGGTCCTGAACGTCTACGTGCAACATTTGTACAAGTGCCACTCGGACCTCTCAGACTGACTTCGGCCTCACAACAGTTAATACAAGAAAGACTTGGCTGCGGGGAAAATCCCATGATCCCAAGTACGGCAGAAGTAAACCCCCAGGCAGCCAGGCTGCCCTCAGCCCAGCAGAGCACCGGTCGAGATCGGCCTTTAGGCGAAGCGTTGGCCCACGTCGATCTTCAAAATCCACCGCCACATGCGATTTGGGATGGGCAGCTTCTACGCTTGGTCTTTGGACGGCTCCAACGCCTGGCCTTGCGAGGGAATGATTGGATCCTGCCCGATGACCAAGGCTATGCGGATTTTAGTCAGACTTTTGTAGCTGACCTTGTTGAGTCACATTTGATCAAACATATATGAAAAATATGTGTGGCAAGCCTTCTATTTGATCATATTGGATCCGACAACGGTGGAACTGGACCGTTCATGAAAATGGATGAGATGTTTTTACTTAATAGAAATAGGGAGCTTTTCCCACCGTGCATTTTGGAGGAGGCACATCTTCTCACACGTTAGCCACGGCTTGCCTTTTGGTGTGGTTGGTTTTTGCTAGAATCCACAGATGCCGCCCTAAAACCACACCCTTCCAGCTGAGGCTATCAGTTTTCGCCAGTCAGTTTGCTTCTGTTGACTTGGTGATTTTCTTCATAAAGCATAACATAAATCAGGCTTCACTGGGGCCCAAATTTTCCACAGCGAGGCAAGGGCGTCTCCTCATCTGGCGAATTTGCTGCAACTGTCTCTCACTTGGGATTCGCCCATGACCGATGAGGAAGAGCCGTCTGAACTTGATCATCCGCATCCCTTTTTGCAGTTCTTCCTAATGGCAGATTTACGTCGACTTCGGTCTTTGTCACTCCAAGGCACATTGTTTTTGAGAAGGCCATATATAAGGCCATTGTTTGGGGAGTTGGGTTGATGTTTCATGGCTTGTTTAGGGGTGTACGCCTCCCCAACCATGGCTGACCTGGCAGAATAATGTTTTGAAATCCCTCAGGAGACATTACCACAACTATCCAACCCATTATTCAAATCCACTTGTGATATGGTTCTTTTCCCACACTCATGCGTCGGCCGTTGTGTGCAACTGGAGGATGTTCCTACAGCAACTTCTTCTTGCAATCCTTGGTGGGCTTCATCAACCGGCACCGGAACTCCCTGGAAGAGCTGCAGATCCGCTTGACGAAGCGCGACGAGATGAGAACTGTTCCGGAACTGCTCGCAGGTGGGGAACCGACGACCAAACCATCCACCGGAGGATGACGGGAACCGCTGTGTGTTGCATTGTCAGTAGCGGCCTGAAAAAATGTGTACAAGTAAAGGCAATTAAAGGATATATATATATATATACACAAATAGATAAGATATATATAGTCCCTATTGCCACAGGCCTCTACTACCCATCATCATCATCATCATCATCATCATCATCGTCATCGTCATCGTCAATGGGATATACCGATATACCCAAGGCCCAAGGTTGTTTCATGTTTCCAATCATCCATTTAACAAGGATGATGGATGTAGATCCCTCATTTGCACGCCTCTAATTGATGGATGGTGATGTGTTTTTTGGGAGGACAACAGGAGGTGAACTCGTGGTTTGTTCCGTTGCCACCAATCAATCAGTGCTCAGTGTTCATGTAATTTCACCTACTCGACGTTCGGTAAACTCTGAACACCAGGGCGGTGTCGAAGAAAGTAGCCACGAGACCCTGTCATCACCCAAGTTCCTCCACCTCATCACAGTTTGAGGTGCATGACCACTCAACCTTGTTCAAAATCAAAGGAAATGACATGATGACATGTGATTTGAAAGAGAAAAGGGATGTCTTTGCTGTGGCAAGAGGCTCAATAGACGTCTCCCTTCCCATCGGTGAAATGGACTTCCAAATTCGAAAGGCGACCTCATTCCCATTCTTTGAAGCAGGAACTGCTGGGGGAGGCAGTGTTGGGTTGGTTGCTCCTTCACTGTTTCTCCTGGTTTCTTGTTCCAGCTGTTGGTTTTTTTTCAGGCTTCTTCCAACATGCCATGTCCGGTTGTGCCAGGTCTATGGGTCTTGCCCCATGTGAAGAGCCTCCTGTTCCCCCTGGACGAGCAACACTTCCGGAGCGAGTTTCGACACCTCAGTGACTGGACTTGGCTTCGTTTTGGGTCTCGAAATGGAAAAGCCAGGATTTAGAGACGGGATGTTGCTGATGTTGAGTGAAGAAGCATCGATGAAACATCTTTCATACTATATTCCTGCATATGATATGCCTGTTCAAAAATCACACTGTTCTTATCCTGGCCTTGTCCATTTCATTGGTCCTACTTGATGATTAGGCTGGAGCTGGCTCGATCAAATCAGTAGAGAAGGTCAAGAAGGAGTAGACACATGTTGTCCAACAGGTCAGCAACCGCCTGGGCACTGTAAGCGGTTCCCCATAATCTCCCCGGCAATGGTTTTAGCATGTTTTAGCCACAGATAGACCCTCAGAAGAACATAGAAGAGCATCTTCCAAACGCAAAGGTCCATGTTCAGCTTCCGTAGTCAGGGATTTCAAGGGAGAGCATGTCAAGTAAATGTGTTTTCATTTATTTGCTGTAAATCCACCAACTTGTCTATCGTTATTTTGTGTGTGTGTGTGTGTTTGTCATACATGCGGCCATAGAGCGGAAAGGGCACAAAATTATGGTGACGGTGGTTTTCTTTATCTTCGTTTTTGTGAGAGCAAAACCCCAGGCTTCCAGAGGCTTCCGAGAGTGTTCCCTGCACTTCGCTTTTTGGCGCTCTTGTTCTGCGACCTTTGGGAAGCCGGCTCCGACGGTTCGGAGAATGCGGTTCAGAGGATCAGGTCCAGATACACCGAGGTGCGCGGGAGGGGGAGGCAGCGCTGGAAGGAGCCAGTGAGACGCTATGAGACAGACAGTAGTAAGCTTTGGATGAGGCACATCGACCTTTTGTATGCCAGATCGGGATGTCGCTTTGATACCCCCCATTCAACTTCGATTATGTTGAACCAAGGTGATATTAGATTTGTTTCAGCCATGATATGCACAAAGATGTTTGTGGGAAAAGGCTTGCTGAGGTGTCAGCACTTGGCAGACGCAGGGCACCCTGAAATTGGTCCCTCGGACATTGATTCCTTGGTTGCATCCTTTGATTCAAAGCTGCAAGGCTTCAATCAGAACCATTCTCGTGCATAGATCAAACATGACGCATTTCTTGAAGAAAGTGTTCCTGTTTTTCTGGTGTGGATCCCAGATTGTGTTTGTGGCTGGCTGTGGCGCCGCTTTTGAAGAGACCAGTGCCACCAGTGCCTCGCAGTCACCCCTTCGCCGGTGCAGGTCTACCAGATGAACAGCTCTTTGCAACGGATCATTGCACCCAGCCTTGTCAGCAAGACGTTTCAAATGTTATTTTTCCACTTGTTTGCCGCAAAAAAGCATGTTGGGAGGCTCTGAGGCTCAGGGACTAGGCCTGTAGCTGCAGGCTCGCGGTAGCCGTAGCCTTTGGCTAATCTCATGGAGAGGAAGCTGGAGAGAGAGAGAGAGAGCACAAAAAAAGAGGGGTTTGATGAGGTATGTGTGTGTGGACCGGACTTCTCGATCAGCACCTCACCATCCGTTGACACCCGCTCCATCCGCTTCTACTGATGGGACGCCGCAAAACATCGGGCCAAAAAGGGGGTCGTGTAAACCTTCGCGGGGTTCTTTTCAAGGAGTTCTGTGACATCTACAACGACGTCCTGCCCTTCGAGGGCTACACCGAAGAGATTTGTTCGGACTGGGGCTCCAGCTTCACGCCCGTGGAGCAGGTCGGCATAGCTTCCGGCGCATTCGATCGAACGGTGGAACCATGTGGGTTGTTCCATCACACCTGACTGGAAGGGCTACGCCCCAAGATGGTCCGCCCCATTCCGCACGCCAGACTATTTCCTACATAAATCTTGAGACTCTCTCCAATGCAGATCTACGTATATAATGCGGCAATGCATTGGAAAGTTTCTGAAGAAGCATGGCTGTCCCAGTGTATGGGCGTCCGGTGTTTCATACCAACCTCATTCCCTTTCCTGGCGCATCACATGTGTTTCCCAACACCTGCACGCATTTAGGACATTTAATTATAAGGCCAATGGCTTCAATGGAACCCAAATTGTCCCTGCCCAGGCCATTGACGCAAACGTGATTGTTTGGTCCAGCTCGACCGACCGGCGTTTCTACCATGCTTCCACGCTGCAGTGGACTCCCTTCAGGGAGCCCTGGTCAAACATTTTCTTCAAGTGACGTGACCAATGGAATGTCGCACATTTTCGTCGCCATGTTCGTTGCTTGAGGGATTTCTCTCGTGGAGAGCTATGAGCAAAGCTGAGCTGCGGGTCACGTCACAGTCAGCTTGGGGGACGTCCTTCGTGCTCTCGGCCTCCCGTGTCGAACGACCAGATGGCCCGCCATCCTCTTCGGACGGAGGAGCCGCTTGAAGAGGGTCCTCGCTGCCCACCGCTCGCACCGCTGGAGGTGCCCTTTTAAGCGGCTGAGGTGAAAAAGGATGCCCCAGTGTGTCAAAAGGGGATTCAAGCACACAAGGGATCACAAGACACATCCCACTTTTACATTGCAGGTAGGACATGCGAGGGGGGTGGGACATGCTCCAATCGCAGTCTCTGATGGGGCGCCGGATGAGACTGCATCAGTCTGAAACGGGGCAAGTGCAGCCGTTTCATTGCATCTCCTTTAGAGAAGAGACCAACAAACTAACTTTCACCTCTATGTCCGGTCATGTCCAGTCTTGTTAATGAGTGATTCATCGCCAGGTAGGCCAGTGCCAAATCCAGCAAAGCCAGTTAGCCTGTGGTCCAAGCCAATCACCCGCTCGATGAAAAAAAGCAAACACCATGGGCTCTTGGTTTCAAGGCCTGGGCCCAGTGAAATCCCTTGGTTGAAGCGCAATCATCCATGTGGGCTGGTCGCGGATCCATTGGTAATGGAGAGTCTCCACCCAAGGCCAATTGATAAGGGAATCAACTGGATCAACATCAAGTTTTTGTCGTCATGGTCAGATGTGACGACCATTGCGGTCACCCCGAGGGTTCCTCAAAGCCTTGGGTGCCTACAGGGTGTAGTGTTCAAGTTGCAGCTTCCAGACCAGAAGCTGCTTGGTCTTGCACTCCTCTACACTATTGTCAGACAGCAAAAGCGCCATCGATAGACTTCTCCAGCACCCTCCAAGCTTCGATTTGAAGCGCAGACCACAAAAGCAAGTACCATGATGAAACAGATCAGCGCAGGGCTTTTCTTCGAACTCCAATCCATACCAATTCTTGGCCCATGCCCTGGCCACTGAGGAACAGTACGTCTATCCAAAGGTCCAACGCTTACAACGAGAAGTCTACCACGAGACCCAAGAGGCCATCGACCACGCCGCACGGACGCCCAGAGTCGCGTGCACGGTGTGGGGGCTCGGACTGTGCTCGGGCTCCAGTTGCTCGGCCGGTTCCAGAAAGAAGGTACCGAAAGTCAGCCATTCCCATGTGACATGGATGGTCATGGGGCACTTGTTTTGCATGTGTTTTGTTTAAACTGTTGCAGGAGTTCGAGTTTCAACATCACCGCCCTTTGTGTGAAGGTATGCCGTAGGTCAAAAGCACGGTCAAAGACCTAATTGTGCTTTTGGCTTATTTTGGTAAGCCAAGCCGCACTTAAAGAGCACCAGAATTCCCTGGCTTTTTGGACTTGAAGAGTAGGGTTGATGGGCCCTTGCAACAGTTTGGGCCGTCATGGAGTCAGAATTATTTCATATTCTTTCCATGTTTGTGTGATGTTGAATCCGCAAAGGTTGGTAAATTAGAACGATGCCAGATCTTCTTCATTTGACAGACTTACATTACATGCCGCCGATGTGAGTTTGGTGATTGACAATCATTGAAGTGTGTTGTTGAATTCGCTTGTTTTGTGCGAAAGCTCTTCACGCGCGCAGATGTCCATCAAAGACGGGTAGCTCAGAAGGACACAGATATCAGATATCCCACAAAATGCACCACGGAGCTTGTGTGGCTCAGGATTCCACAGATTCCACCGATCGTTTGCGCATTTAGTCCCTGGAGTGCCTCCAATCATCATCTCTCAGGAGAGCTCCCTTGACTTGGCGGAGCGGGCCAGCCACTGGGTCGCGGCGGTTCGCTGTGGGGCTGGTTGAGCGGATGGTTCGCTGTGCCGATTTGGCCCGGCCATTTCTTGAGAACGGATGTAAAACTGAATGGCCAGTTAATCATATTCATGTACCGACTCCAACCCGAAAAGTGCTGGTAGAGGTGTGCTACAAAGTATTGAGAGTCTCCGTGGTTGGAAGGAACTTTGATCAAGATTCGAGGGGGGATGCATCGGTCTGCTGAAGGGGACTTGCAAGTGAATCAGCATCAAGTCCCGCACACATCCGCACACGATAGGCAATCAAGTACTAGAAGTTGCACTTGTTCAGGATCACATCATGGCACATCATTCTAAAAGCCAGGCGTCACATCATCCTTTGAGGTCGGGTTCGGTGGAGCGGTTGAGGCCAGATCCAGCGGAAGGTGACCGAGGAGTGGTGGCGCCTGGCAGAACAGATGGTGGCCACTGGGATTTTAACCATGATGACACATTCAGGTGAAGCATATGCAGTGGATCAGAGAAAGGTGGAAAGACATACATACACAAGAGCAAAAGTAGACAACAAATAGATTCGATTCGACGTGGTTCCCAGCATAGAATCTTTGAACGTACAACATCAGAACGAATCACAGTCCGGCGGCAAATATTCGCGTGATGGCATTCTCACTTCAGCAAGATCTAGCATTGTGGCCTCATGTGTCCTTGAGAATGTTTGAGGTTGCGTTCTGAAGTGTGTGTGTGTGTGTATGTTTGATTATTGTTATATATATATACAGGAGTCGAGTAAATTACTCATCATGGATAAGAAGACATATACACCTGTCGGGGACTAGGCCCTCAGCAAGCAAGATTCTAGGCCACAGAAAGATTGCAGTCCAATGGTTTCATCCCAGAAGGTCCTGCACTTGCTAAACAGAACATAGAAAACATACCAACAAAAAGACAGAGAGGTGGAACGTTGTGTACTTCAATTGTTCTGCAAAGATCATGAGAACACCGACTTTGGGTCACTTGAATGTCGAAATTGAAACTTGTGCCAGTTGAATTGCCGAAGGGTTTTTGTCAAGACATTAGCATCTAGAAGCCATTAGCAGCCCGTCGCTTGTCCTACAATGTCCTCCACTTGGATCTGGCAGTCTGTGCGTCCCAAATTTTTGTGAAGGGATCTCAAGATCAATGGACTTGGCACTTCGGATGGTACGCGGACCCTGAAGAAAAGAAAGCTTCTCAGAAGTAGTTCGAGTGGCGAACTGCTGCGCTCAGGTTCGCTACAATGATCATTTCTACAACTTCCCGGAGTCCGACCCGACCAACGTCACCAGCCTGAACAGCTTTGTGGTGAGGATGTTTGAACAGCTTTGTGGTGATTCCTTGATGAAGTTTTGCTTGCCTCTCCAGTATTCAATCTGTCGTTCCAAAGGCTTAAGGCCTCAGCGGTTGTCGGATCAACCCAATATTTTCTGGAGGCTTCTATTTAGCCACACACCACTGTAAGTAGGTGGCGCCAGTTTTTCGACCAAGACAGAAACGATTTTAGAAGATAGAAGATCTCCCAGATTCGAGGCATATCTTCCTTGGATTTATTCCTCGGATTTCACATGTTTTGGCTGTTGTGGTGTTCACTCATGTTGCTCATGAGACTCATGAAGCAAAGCCAAGAGGACCACCGAGGGAAAACCATCCAAAATAGCTTTAACAAGTCAGATACAGTAAATGTGTCGACCACAATATGCGGAACACCCAAACAGGTGTGGGATTGTGTTGAATGCTCAAGCATGTTCTTAAGATGTCTTAATATGTTCGTATATTATTTACTATATAGGTTCAGTTGGGATGTCAAAGTTTGGCCTTCAGCATTTGGCTGCATCATATGCAAGGGAGGGGCGAAAAGACACGAGGTTGGCAGCATCGGGTATCCCGCGTTTTGGTTGGAGATGATTGGGTATGACCAGGAGTTCTACAGGCTGGAGACGGGTCAAACAGTGGGAGGCGTTGCGGCTTGATCGTCTTGAGTCCTGAGCACCACCCGAATCAGAAAAGGAAGAGTCTATCAAATCTAATCAATCAAGTCCAAACTAGTCCAAACAACATAGTAATATAAACATCATTGAGTTCAAAAAGGACCCCACCACGGTCGGTCCCTTACGGTCCGTCTCGCCCAGTCCCATGCACGGCTGGACATGCGGACATCGGACAGCGCGGGATCGGCTGCCGATCGGCGCATGGAATCACCCCCGTTTCGCCCCTTTTGGATTGTTGAAGAGATGTTTCTCTTGGAGTTTTTGTTCTGAGATGCAGAGAGTGTGTTGCTTGACTTAAGCCGATGTGGTCTCTTACGGCCTATGGGCGTGCGAAAGGTGGTTTTGTATTTCCCCTGGAGTTCGTTGTTCAGGTGCTCCCCCAGTTCCCAGGACGGAAAAAACACGGAAAAGACACACTCAACACAACTAAGAACACACGAACAAGAGCCACCAAACACTGCGACCCTTCGTCGGGTGAGTTCACCGGAACGACCCGTTCTCTCCACGCCGCCGGCGGTGAAACA